TTCCAACTACCATGCCACCTGCTGGCCCCTTCGTCCAACTTTTGTCTACAAAATGGGGTCACCTACGTTATGAAAAATGCTTTATTGTGAGAAAAAATGAGATAGTTTTATAAAGCATTTAGTATAATCTTTAGTACATAAGAAGTATTCTTCAGTATATAAAACCTTTCAATCTTAATTATTATATGTGTTGTATTTTTAAAACAATATAGTCCTACAATTGTAAGATTTTTAAAGCAGGAGACATGTCTTATTAATATTTATATTTCTTCAGGAATCAGTGCAGTAACCACTCATCGCTTAAATGGACTTATTGAGTGATTCTTACTAAATATCTAGTATCAAAATTTGTTTCCCATTGTCTCTTCTGTTTTTTATTCCTCTGTTATTTCTTCCCTCCCCTCTTTGAGATATCTGGATATTTTTCAGTGTAGTTTTATTTTTCTATTGTATTTTAGTTATATTTCCTTTAGTATGTATGTATTACTTTTATTGATTACTCTAGGGCTAGGACTAAAATTCTTAATTCATTAGAACCCTTTTAGAGTCAATTAGAACCTCTTCAAATTTACATCTAATGTTTCAAAATGTAACATTGTAATTTAATTTATTCATCTTCCTTTTTTTGTGTAATTATTGTCATAAATTTAATTTTAACATTTGTTATTAACCCCATCTTAGAGTATTATTATTTTTATAGTCATTTAAAATTAACAATTTATTTAACATTTTCAATTCTTGTTATTCTTTATTCTAGATCTGAATTTCTATCTGGAATCATTTATCTTTAGCTTTTTACATTTTTGCACTATAGGTCTGCTGATAATATTCTCAGCTTTTGTTTATCTGACAGTGCCTTTATTTCATTTTTACTTCTCAAGGATATTTTTATTGGATGCAGAGTATGAGATTAACAGATTTATTTATTTATTTTTTCTCAGAGAGATTTTTGCTATAGGGTGCATTTGCATGCTGGAGAGACAGAGAAAGAGACAGAAAGCAAGGAATCTCCCCCCAGGGAGAATAAATCCCTTCTCTTCCATTCTCCTCCCAGGACTTTGGGCTTGCAGGTACTTGTGCCCAGGGTGAGTTTCAAGCCCCACCTGGTCTGGGACTTAAACTGGTGTTGATATGAGGGAGTCCAGACATAACCATTATGCCATCTGCTGGTCCTAACAGTTTGTTTTAATTTTTATTTTCAGCAATTTAAAGATGCCATTTCTTTGGGTTTGTTTTTCAGTCTCCATTTTCTTAAAAGCTTGTGATCATCTTTATTCTTTTATTCTGATCAAATATATCTCTTTTCTCTGTATGCTGTAAATATTTTCTATTTATCTAACTTTCTGCATTTTGGCTAGTGTGTGTAGGTGTAGTTCTCTTTATATTTATTCTTCTTAAGGCTTGGTAAACGTTTTAGATTTGATCTTCTTTTTTTTTTTTTTTTTTTTGGGGGGTTTTTTTTGCTACAGAGCGCGTGCACTCGCCAGAAAGACAGAGAGAGACAGAGAGACAGAAAGTGAGAAATCAACCCCCCTGGGGGGGGGTGGCCATGCTGCAATTCCTTCTCCTGCATCCTCCTCTTGGGATCTTGGGCATGCATGCACATGCGCCCGGTGTGAGTATAAGCCACTGGGTATGGGACTCGAACTGCGGTCAACTACATGGGAGTCCAGCGACATAGTCATTGCGCCAACTGCTGGTCCCTTAAGATTATTTAATATGGTTCTATCTATTCCTGAGGTTAAGCTCATTTTATCAGCTTTTCTGGTAACAGACTAGCTATCCTATAGAAGATCCTTCTAAAACTGGTTAAGATACATGGGGCAACTGTTTTCAAATAGCATAAAACAGGTCAGTCTAGGAAAATAATTTCAAGAAAATACAGCCTCACAAGGTAAGCCCCATGAGTGTCTAAATCTCTAAATAAGAATTTTTTTCTGAACATGACACAGAGTATGGCAGTCATTTGAGTGAGGAAATGGAGAACAGAGAATAGGGCTGCTGACGTGGCTGGTCCTAAGAGTAAAGAGTTATTCAGAGATCAATTCCCAGAAGTCTTAAGTGGAACTTCTTCGCAAGTCTATGGCTGAGATCTGGGCCATATTATCCATGGTAAGACTATCTGAGGCTTTTTAGAGAGAAAATGTTAAGGAGTCGAAAGAATAGAAATAGTAGAGGTCAAGTAGTGCTAGAGGAAAAACAGTGCTAGTCATCACTGGAGTTTGAGCCGTATGGGAGTGGGAGATATATTAACAAATACTTGATTAAAATTCCTGGCACCTATGGGAACCAGCAGTTAATGTAATGGCTATGTCACTGGACTCCCACGTAGTTGACCACGGTTCACGTCCCGGACCCGGTGACTTAAAACTCATGCCGGGCGCGTGTGCGTGCGTGCCCAAGGTCCTGAGAGGAGAATGGAGGAGAAGGGATTGCGGTGTGGCCATCCCCCTTGGGGGGTGATTTCTCGCTTTCTGTCTCTCTGTCTCTCTCTGGCGAGCACACGTGCCCTATAGCAAAAGCTCTCAAAAAAAAATTGGCTTCTAATTTTTATTCTTATGTTTATTGTGAGTTGGTCAGTTAATAATCTTTCCCTGGTTAGTTTACAAGATTCTTGATAGAACAAATGAGATAGGCATCAATGATTCATACAAACTACAAGTATTATTATTATCATATGGTTCATTTCCCTAAAATTCCAGATCACATACAAATTGCTATTTCCCTTTTAAAAGAGTAACTTTATTTCCATTTTAGTAGGTAATTTTCAAAGAATTCTCCTTTTTCTGTATATGCTTTAAAAATATGAGTAGAGCATATGCTAGGTTTTTGCCCATTCTGACCTTCAGTTTCTTTCAAATACACAGTCTAACTTTATTAATTCTTTATGGAATCATGTCCTTTGAGTTTTTAGCTTGTTTTTTCTTTCTTATCTTTTTTTTCCCTTTACCCTGGTTGCTTTTCTGAATATGAGAAGTTAAAGGTATCTGGTACAAGGTTTAGCTATTCATTGAATGTTCCGAATCAGTCCCTTTCTATGAAAACAATGACTCTGATAGATATTCTCTACTTCTGGTGACATAAAGTTGTCATTACGTAATTCAGGAGTCTGATTTTTCAGGTTTTTGTCTCTTTGTAGTGTACTGAAAAGTGAATTGTGAATTCATTGCTATAAAATAGGGAAATGTCTATCTTTTTTTTTGAGAGGTTTTTGCTATAGGGTGTGTGTGCTTACCAGAAAGACAGAGACAGAAAGCAAGAAATCACTTCCCCAGGAGGGATGGCCACGACACAATCCCTTCTCCTCCATTCTCCTCTCAGGATCTTGGGCACACACGCACACGCTCCCGGTGTGAGTTTAAGCCACCGGGTCCGGGACTCAAACTACAGTTGACTACATGGGAGCCCAGCGACATAGCCATTATGCTAAATGCTGGTCCTTAGAAATGTCTGTCTTTAATATTAGCTTGGAGTATCTTTTTTGCAACATTCAACTTAAACTTACCCAGTTAAACATCATTGGCAAGGAAATTGCATTTGTTTGTCTTTTTCTCTGATCATATTTGAAGCTGTGTGGTCCCAACACTAAGTGGGATTCTAAAATGCCTATGAAATGAACACTGAAAAGAGCCTATTGAAAACAATTTTCTTGGGACCAGCAGATGGCATAATGGTCATGTTGCTGGACACACATGTGTCAACTCTGGTTTGAGTCCTGGACCAGGCAGCTTAAAACTCATACTGAGAGCTTGTGCATGGGTGCCCAAGATCCTGAGAAGAGAATGGAGGAGAGGGGATTGCGGCATGGCCATCCCTCTGGGGGGTGATTTCTCATTTTCTGTCTCTCTGTTTCTTCCATGAGTGCATGCACTCTATTGCAAAAAATATTAAAAAAGACACAAAAACCAACTTTTCTTGGCCCAGCTTTAGTGGCACAGGTAGTAGTAGTGCACTGCTTCGTAATACTGGAGCCACCTGGATGATTAGAGTTCAGGTCCTGGTTGACCTGAAACATTCAGGGTATGTGCATACATACCCCATAACCCTGGTTAGCTGGAAGTCTAGGGGAAGGGATCATGGAATGATAAAACACTGATGTGATTTCCTCTCTCTCTCATTTCTCTCTCTATTTCATGAAATAAAGTAAATACACTTGGTCTTAGCCAAAAGGCTAAGAAGCAATAAGAAATAAAAACAGAGAGACAAAAAATAACTTTTCTTCTTGGTAACTTCTTTTAAAAAAAAATTTTTTTTGGAGAGATTTTTGCTATAGGGTGTGTGCACTTGCCAGAGAGACTGAGAGAGACAGAGAGACAGAAAGTGAGAAATCACCCCCCAGGGAGGATGGCCATGCTGCAATCCCTTTTCTTCCATTCTCCTCTCAGGATCTCAAGCACGCACACACACGTGCCTGGTGTGAGTTTAAGCCACTGGGTCCGGGACTCGAACCATGGTCAAATACATAGGAGTCCAGCGACATAGCCATTATGCCAACTGCTGGTCCCTGGTAACCACTTTCTAAAAATAATTTCTTCTTCATATACCAAAGCTATAATCCTCTCTGTGCCCTGTATATTGAGATTCCTGTTGCAAAGTGTCTTTCACTGTATCTTCCTGTCAAAAACCCTCACGGACCTATTTTACAACATTCTTATGAAAGACTGTAATTGAATGACTGAAAAAGGTCTTGGAAACATAGTCAACTTTTGCTCTGAGAAATAAGTGTATTACCTACTGTTGAGAGTCACACTGTTGCCATTTATTAAGTTTTCGGTTTAGAACTATGTTAGGGGACCTAAAAAACATTAAGTCTGGTTTTTGCCCTTAAGGAATGTAATGGTTGAGAGCACAGGATTTGAAGTCAAGCAGACACATGTAGGCTGGATGATCTTGGATGAGGTACATGAAACCTCTGTTCTCTCATCTGTGAAATAATTGTACATAACTCACTATTTAAACAAGATAAATCTGTGGAGAGAATTCTTTTCAGAACTCGGAGAAATCGTTTCTTTGGGCATATTTGTTTTTGGTGGTCTCTTCAATTGTTGTCAGTCAGTTTTTAAAATCCAGCTGCCCAACACCACTGAGGCTGTTAGCATAACGTCTTCATGTTCTGGAGTTAGCAACAAGCCCAGACATCTAGTGGTAAGTTGGGTGTTTGAGTAATTGATACCCATATTGGCCATTTGTAGATGGAATAACACAGTGTGACTGTTCAGGGTAGCCAAAAGACTGTAACAGATCAATCCCTACGTCACATTGGCTCACCACGTTATATATTTGCTTCTTGCTCACATAACAGTACAAAGTGGATTGGGCATGGGATGGGGCTAAGTATGTGCCACAAGGTCATTTAGATACCCAAGCTCTTTCTTCTTAGTGTTTCTTCATCATTTTCTAGAGCCCCAGCTTCTTGCACTATATTCTCTGCATCTGGCCACAGACCAGAAAAGAACGAGGTATAATGGATGGTATCAAGGTTTTAGGCACTGAGCCTGGGCAGGGTTCCTGTAACTTCCATTTATGGTCTATAGATTATAACTAGTCTCTTTGCCCACCCTCACCCTTCCAAATGCAGAAGGTCTTGGAAATATGTAACAGCAGTGTGGTGAAGAAGACATGTATCTTGGAGAGTGCTATTGATCCCTGCCATTTAGGAGAACCTTGGAAGTTTGGAATTCTGGCTGCCTTCCCCAGGGTGCACCACTTAGGCATTCCTACCATGGGACCAGGTATACACCAGCTAGCTTGATGTGCATCTGCCCGATAGAAAATGACTGTCCTGAGAACCAATTTTATTTCCCTCTTCCTATACCTTAACCAAGGAGGGATTTTGAAAGTTCTGTGTGAGGTATATATGGCCCTTTGGATTTATACGAGTAGGTGCTTTTGGTTGGGGAATATAATCTCAGGTAGGTGAGTGAAGGCTATCACAGAGCTGACTCCTCACTGGACTTAATGTAATTTTAGTATAGTTGGTTCTTATGAGAGATACCACTTTGCTCCTTGGTTATTCCTGGGTGTCAGAATTTATAATGCCTACAGTTGAGAATTCAGAAAATGGTGGGGTTGCTTTATTCTAGCTGCCTGGAATGTTGAGCTATCGGCGAACTGCCATTCATCTTGTGTGCACCAACAGAAGCACTTTCCAGATTCTGTCTCTTCTTTCTCCTTGATAACAATCCTTTGCAGATCTTTAACTCAAATATGTTTCTTAGAACTAAGCCAGGGAGAATTTTTATAACAGGCTCAGGTTAGAGTTACCTATCTTTGTGTGTGTTTATGTGTATTTTAAAAAATGATCATTATTCTGTTTTTAAAAATTGCTTTACCTGGGACCAGCATTTGATACAATGGTTATGTCACTGGACTTCTGTGTAGTCAGCTGTGGTTCAAGTCCCAGACCCGGTGGCTTAGACTCATGCTCGGTGTGTGTGCGTGCACGCCCAAAATCCTGAGAGGAGAATGGAGAAGTCCTCCCCATCAGATGATGATTTCTTGCTTTCTGTCTCTCTGTCTCTCCAGATAGTGTACACTCCTTATAGCAAAAAAGTCTCTTTTAAAAAAATTGCTTTACCTTTGAATGGGCACATATATATTTTTCTAAGTTTTAGATTTTTTGAGGAATTTAAAAATTATTAATATAATAATCACATATATTTATAGGGTACAATGTGATTTTTCAGTGAAAGAGTACAATGTATAGTGGCTAAATCAGGGTAAAACTAGTATCTCAAACATTTGTCATTATATTGTATTAAGAATATTCAAAATCCTCTCTTTTACTCTAAGATACAGTAATTGGCTGTTTACCATATTCTCTGCATTACATTTGATAACAATAGAAATGATTCCTCTTATCTACCTACAATTTCATTTCTGTTCATCAGCATCTTATATAAACTCCCCCCTCCTCCAGCCTCTGTTAATTATTCATCTTTCAACTTCAGATGTCACAATATATATCTTAAAGAGTTATTTATTTAATTTTATTTCTTCTTGTTATTTAATTTGACCTAGGAGAGACAGAGAAAAAGAGAGAGAGGGAAAGTGAGAAAGCAAGCCACCAGATCTGGGATTTGAATTGGGATCACCATGTGGAGTACAATGCTTCAGCCACCACACTACCGACTGGCCCTGATCACAATATACATCTTAACTCTGTGGTCAAAAATAGTTACGATCTGGGACCAGTAGCTGCCACAATGGCTATGTTGCTGGACTCTCATGTAGTAGAGTGCAGTTCGAGTCCCAGACCTGGTGGCTTAAACTCAAGCTAGGTGCATGTGTGTGCGTGCCCAAGATCCCAAGAGGAGAATGGAGGAGAAGGGATTGTAGTGTGACCATCCTCACTTGGGGGGTGATTTCTCACTTTCTGTCTCTCTCTGTCTTTCTGGCAAGTGCACACGCCCCATAGCAAAAACCTCTCAAAAAAAAAATTAAGATCTAATGATGATATACTGCTCCTTTAAAAAATGAAAAGAGAGTGGATAAATTCTCTCATCACAAAAACGATAGCCATGGGAAGAAATGTATTTGTTAATTAGCAAGATTTAGTCATTCCACAATGTATTTATACTTCAAATCTTCCTGTTGTATGTGATAAATAATACAATGTTGGGGCCAGCAGGTAGCATGGTGGTTAAGGGCACTGGACTCCCACATGGCTGACTTTGGTTCTAGTCCTGGACCTGGCAGCTTGCTTTCTCACTTTCTTTCTCTTTCTCTTGCTCTGTCCTGGTCAAATTTAAATGAGTAAATGAATAAGTAAGTAAATAAATAAATAAATAAATAAACTAGATAAAATAATTAATTTAAAAAATACAGCATTATCTGTCAATTAAAAATAGTTAAGATAAAACATCTTAAAGGAATTTTCTGAGTTATACAAGTAATAAAATAAAGATAATTAAATGCAATCCTTTCTCCTCTTTTATTTCTCCTTTCCAGATTTTAGGCACACATGCATAAGTGCCTAAAATGTCAAATTTTGTTATTATGACTATTATTTCCATTATCTAGGAAGATAGATTAATGTATAAGATCTACCTAAAGAATATATTGGGTTGTCAGAAAAGTCATGACTCACTTTTTTGCATAGAAAAACAGAAAAATACAACACGACTTTTCCGGCAACTTATGGACAATAAGGAATAAATGATACATAACTGATGTGAAGCACGAAGCCAGGGACTGCTCAGCATACAGAAGCTTTGGCTCGGAATGTTTCCTTGAGGAGCAAGGTCTTAACATGAGTCCTTACGCGTGTGATAGACAAGGGCTGTCAGCACAGCAGGCGGCAGGATATGTGACTCTGCTTAACTTCCAAAGGGGAGAAGTTGGTCTACCTAGAAATTTAGTTCAACCAAGAAAAGTACATGAAGCTTAATTGTAAGACATAGGACATAGTTCTGTTTTCTTTCTAGTACTGGGCAAGACAAGGTTGATAAAGTGCACTTTAATTCCATAAATCAGCTAGAAAAATTTAGAATTGTTCTGTGGGTTAAGAGATGCTTCTGACTGGCTGGATGTTTTTAGCCTTCTGAAATCATGATTACAGTAAGATGATTTGTTCCCTGCGAAGAACAGGCTGAAACAGGAGGCGGGCTGAAACAGTCCAAGAACTAATGGCAATTGTACCAAATTGAAGTGCCTCAGTTGTTTCTTAAAACAAAAACAACTGATATTAAAATGAATCACCCTAAATTCTCTTGCATTGGTGACATTCTGAGCTTCCAAGAATAGGGTATTATAATACTTTAGGCCCTTTGGAATCTGGTTATATGCAGGTGGAAGAACTGACAAGGCCTGGCACAAAGAACAAAGCGTACACTGTCTTTTTTTGCCAAGTATATACACTGCATCCTTGGCTTCATCAGCCTTTCTGCCTCCTATTCCTTCTTCCTCCCTCTTTCTCATGTAATTACTCTCATCCTGAGAAAATGAAAGACTCTGGAAACCCATTATGTGTTCCTGCCTTTGGGACCAATATCAAGCACAGAGCAATATGTATGCAAAGGAAGCTTCTCCTCCTAGATTGGAAGAAAGGTAGATTTAAAAGAAAACTGACATGATGGTCTAACTTCTACCTGTAGGTCTGATGAGGTAATATCATATAGTAAGTATATTGCTCTCTAAATATCCTGGGTTTTTTTTTTTTTTTTGAATGAATGATGTCATAAAACATGGCTCCAGTAAGAATACAGTCTGGGAAGTATATCTGTAGTTAATAAAGGTGGTAATAGCATGAAATTGTGTGTTTGTGATCTTACTTGGTGACAGAAAAAGGAACTTACTTAAATTTATTAAGAAGTTTGGGTAAATGAGTTACACATGTATTTCACACCTGAAACTGTACAGTGTTGTGGTTAACAGCGTGATTTTAGAAGCAGACAGAAGTGGGTTTATATCCTGGTATCATGACTTAACAGCCACACAGGCTTAAGCAACATAGACTCTACCTTAGTCTATTTCCTTATCTATATAAAGTATTTAATAAAACCCACCTCAAGGACTTGTTTTAGGATTATGTGAAATAATGTGATAAACTTTGGCAAATAGATAAATATAAATAAACAGGTAGTTGTTATCTTTTTTTTTTTTTTTTTTTGAGAGGTTTTTGCTCTGGGGGCTTGCACTCTTCAGAAAGAGAGAGAGAGACAGAGACAGAAAGCGAGAAATCACCCCCCAGAAGGGATGCCCCACTGCAATCCCTTCTCCTCCATTCTCCTCTTGGGATCTTGGGCATGCACATACACGTATGCAGTTGAGTTTAAGCTACCAGGTCTGGGACTCGAACCTCGGCCAACTACATGGAAATCCAGTGACATAGCCATTACGCCAACTGCTGGCCCCAGTATACTACCTATTTTTAAACAACCAGGATAATTAACATGAATTTTATGCAAAAGCTATTATTTATTTAAACGATTTAGTACATACATTGAGATCTCGGAATGCTTCATAATCATCCTTGGAAACATAGTGACTGTTGTGTTTTGCTAGTACCAGATGCAGAATTCAGAGTGACCGAATCCTTTTGCTACAAGTATTTATGTCAATATGCAGAACATACAGGGTTTAAATAGGGCAGGGCATAAAAGAACCAGAATGATTTGGGAAAAGACATTCTGTCTCTTTGGAAA